TTGGGCATTTCTCTCACCAAATTACCATCCATTTAGTTAATTTAAAAAAATTACCTCCAGCATAGAAGGACTTCTACTTTTTTTTACTTAAATGTTATTTTTGTAGACGCCAAAATTGCAGTGTAAATTACAGAGATACACTATTCAATGCTCCAAATGCTCTTATTGAGTTGAAAATGTATTCAATAATTCAAATTCAAGGGGCAAAAAATTTTAAAGGGAATTCTGAAGAATATTTCTTCCAGAAAACACCGATTAAAAATTATATAATGTAAGTCTATGTGAAAACAAGACTCAACTTGTGGACATTTCAACTTGGGGACACTCTTGATGCACAAATTACGTCCGCATCTCAGGGTCTCACTGTAATTGAATTTGTCTGAAGGACCTTGTGACTAACAGACTTGTCCATTTTATAAATTAAGTCTGTTAGACAGGGGCTGACTGTACTTCTCCTTTCATTGAACCTGCCTCTCTACCAACAGCATGTTAAAGCTTGCATCAATGATCTTTTTTGTTGTGCTTTTGGTTGCACATCTTCACCCCTCTCCCCTTAATTTAAATTTTAGAATTTGCACACCCTCTTGAAAGTAGCATGAAGTGTGATATTCAAATTACTGGTCCTGCTCCTCATTTATCCATGTAAACAGCTTTGGAAAATGCCAGCTCAGTGGCTGACAACTTTTTTAAGACACTTTTTAAAGCTGACAACTTGTTTTAAGTTTAAAAAAACTTTTTTTTTCATTCAATGTGCTGTTCATTCTTTGTGACCAAACCATGGCACCTGTACCATGGTAAAAGTATATAGAGTTACATTAAAAAGGAAGCTTCCATTTGGCATTTTTCCATTGCCACAGCTTGATTTGCTACTGAGCTATCCTAAGTAGTAATTAGTTCACTTTTTTCTGGCCCACCCTGTATAGGTACTATAGCTGTCCCCATGTTATAAGGCTTTTCAGCAACAAAATTCTCACTACAACGGATTTTTCTGGTCCCTTAAATTTTTTTTAGAGTGAGTTCACCTGTATACAGTAGAATCTCATTACAATGATTGATTGCTCACAATGAATTCATATTTTAGGTCATCATTCCCTCATTAGACACACTGTTAATTCAATTTCTCTATCAAAACTTTTTTGTTGATGCAAAGCTTTTTCGCTAGTCCCGAAGTCTTGATTATAACGAGATTTTAATGCAAAAAGTTTTCTTGGCATCACAGTTTTTCCAAGTGACAACGGAAATTTCGTAAACTGAATATTGAAGCAACTTTTCTATTTCAATGCGTCCAAGCTGAAAACTGTGATTCCAAAAATGGAAGTTGCTTCAAGACTATGCCAAATTTTTGCTGTAGCAACAAGAACCGCAGCAAAAACAATGCGCAAAAGTGCTGTATTGAATCAGCATTGTATTATTTCAAGTACGAATAAAAGGAGGCATATATTTGTAAAAATGTACTCGTACTCCACCCAGAGATATTGTAAAGTAAATGTCCCAAAATGGAGAAGTCTGATAATGTCCAAACGACTTCCCACGCTATTTACTTACATGGGCAAGGGAAGGAGTAAAACTTGCCCTTTCTTGTATATTTTTTTATACATGAAGAGAGTTGGTAACTATGCTTGTTATTATCTGGTGTGTCTTTGATGACATCAGATTCATTTCCTTGTGAAAATTTTATGGAGGAAAAAACTGAGTTTTACATTATTTTATATACCATGTCCTCAACCATGGAATTTATTTCAATTAATTATTCTATTATTTTATGCATTCATTTATTTTATATTTATAATTTTAATTCCTGTTCATCAGTGTTTTTGATATTTTTGCTTCTTTGTTTGACAGTTTGTTCTTTTCAAATTCTCAAAAATATGTTTCTTCTGCAGTACACAAATTAATAAAAAGGCTATATTTTCCAAAATGTTTGATGTTGAAGTCTTCAATCTGAAAGATTCTAACTAATTATCATGTTTGCTGTTGCTTGAAATATTTTTGCAGTACTGTACAAAATTGATTTAATGCTGTACATCGTTTTGTTATTTAGGTGACGCATTTTCTCAGAATTTCAGTAGCTTTTTCAGATTTAAGCTGAGGATTATAATTTTGATTGGAGTGTGCAACTTATTGTTACTACAGTAAAAATTGCAGTAGCATCTCGTTGTTACAACGAATCACTTGATAATGGTTTATTGGTTGCAATGAATTCGTTTTTTTCTCCAATAGGCTCAATGTATCTTGAATATCGCTGAAGAACTAATTAATCTGCATAACGAAGGATTTTTCGTTGTAATTTTATTTTTACTGTATCAGTATACGAATTTTATTCCCTGAGCATCGTTTTGAACTCATAATCCCCAATTGTATTCATTTTCTTCTTTTTTTCTGCAGATTTAAACAGCTTATTGTCCGCAAGCATTCCCCGACTTCAAGGGGAAACAAACGTGAAATGCTTTATTTTTCTATATTTTTGTGTGTGTGTGTGTGTTTTGAATGGAAGACGAACACCGGCAACGGATGACGCAGCTGAAGAGAAGAAAGAGCGGGTCCGGGGAGTTGGGTCACCCCCTCGGGCGAGGAACAGACAGGACTGACCTCGGTTGGGTCACGCCGACGCCATTATCATATCCCAGTCGCCACAGCAGCAGAGGCTTCGGCCATGACACATGCCGAGTCGCACACAACATCAGAAATGTACATCTTGCCTCGGAACGAACGAGGATAATTTTTTTTTAATCTTTTCAAAACTGGTTCGAATTATTTTGTACTGTGTCTTATTTATTAAATATTTTTTTAAAGCGATTATGAGACTTCAAAAATTCCTGATTCGATGTTTAGGAGGTCTTCAGTATATATCAGGTAAGACTTTCTCTACAACGATTTTCTCAGTTTAACGAATTTTTCTGGTACCCCACGTATTCACAAATAAAAGAAAAAAATCACTGCCATTATTTCAATTTAATTTTCTGCACAAAATCTGTTTGAGAAAAACGCACTTTCTTGAAGTCTTGAAAGGGTATTTTGATGCTTCCATCCGTTTATCTACATATTTTTTTCAATATTGAGAGATGTGAATATACTGTATTATTTAAAATTGAGAGGCTTCAACACAAAGTTGTTAATGCCACCTGTAAGAATTGTCCAAGGCAAAAAAAACCCAAAATCCACTTACTTCTTGTTCGGAAAATGTAAAAATTATTACATGTGGAAATTGATGTCTGCGATTTCAGATTTTAATGCAATTTTTATGCATTTTTATTTCAGCTTTGCCGCAAATAAATTGAGTCCATTATTCAGGCCAATGAAACTTAAATTAACCGTTATCATTTTAATAATCGTTGGGTTAATTCATATTTTGTTCAAAATCCGGGAATCGAAGAGTTTACTCTTTCACATTTTATTCGGCCAAATTCACGGAGTAATAAATTGATTTTTAATAAATGGTTCAGGAGTTTTCGAATTTTTTATTAAATTACTGTACATATACGAGTTTATATCGCTATTGTAGAACACTATATAATACAGTGAACTGATGATTGAGGCGCTTTTTTTCAGGCTCCGAAAAATGACGAAAAGTTGAAAGGGAATGGTTGCTGAAAATATTAAAGCATAGAATTTATTTTCTTTCAGTTGCAAATGCCTCTCAATTATGAAAAAGTTTTCGGGGCAAAATTAACTGTTGAGAGGGTCAGTGGGAATAATACGTTTTTATGACCTTGCTTTTTATGATCTGGAGAAGGCGCAACAAACAGAAACCAAATATAATTTCGAATCAGATAAATCATTTCACAACAACCTGATGCGATTTTAGTGCCATTCCTTTGAATGTAAAATTTGAAGGGACTCATAAAAATGATTGCATTTGGAGAGTTTTTGCCTGAGCGAATTTTGCTTCCAATTAAATAGTATGTATAATCCCTATGTTGAGAGCATCAATGTGATACTAATGTGCTTAGTTTTCTAGTTTTCCAGGACAGGAATTATAAAAATCTGTTCCAATTTAATCGTAAAAAGGTTTATATTCAATCCCAGAGATAGACATTAGCTTACAAAAGATTTAAAATTACTGAAATTCAATGAAGAGACACTTTTGGAACTCTTAAAGGATCAAGAAAATTTTTTGGCCTTATATGATTTCTCATCAAAGATTCTCTCTGATGTTGTGTGCGACTCGGCATGTGTCATGGCCGAAGCCTCTGCTGCTGTGGCGACTGGGATATGATAATGGCGTCGGCGTGACCCAACCGAGGTCAGTCCTGTCTGTTCCTCGCCGGAGGGGGTTTGGATGCAGGAGTTCTGGTTATCCCTTGTGAATGCTGAAAAGTGGCAAATATAGTTTTCTGTTCATTCATTCATTCATTCAATTCTCAAAGGGTTGACCCAAGATGTTTTGAGCTGGGGAGGCTTGGATTGCTTTTGGACTTGAGAAAAAATTTCAAGGAATTCACTGAAAATATCAATTACTGCAGTTATCTACATTTTGGGAGGCATGAATTGACAAAATATTCCTTCTGTAACATGTTCTATACTACAGCAGTGTTCCTTAACCCATAGTCTGCAGACCAGTGCCAGTCTGCAGAAGTTCATTGCCAGTCCTTGGGAAATTTTAAGCATAATAAATTCATCAAAAATTGAGAGGAATTACGTTATTTTTACCTAAAATTTTGGAAGGACACTGGCAGTTGAATTATCTGATTTTTAAAAAAGTTGGCTTTTCTCCTCATAACAATTCAGACAAAATTTCCCACGCTGAAGTAAATTATTTAATTTTTCATTCTGAGAAACAATTAATCAAACCCACCTTCCTAATTGATGACACTCAGAGTTATTCTTTTAAATACCAGCCTAATAACATTCAAGCAAAACTTTTGTGAGTCTGAAAAAAATAGATGAAACTTTATTTACTAGTCCAGAGAACATTTTTGGGAATCTGCTGGTCCTACATTTTTGTTGTTGGAAATTTACCATCCTGCTGGCCCCAAAAAATGGGGAACACTGTCCCTCACTAGTGGTCCACAGACTGGCACCAGTCATCCACCAAAAGTATTTTCGCAGTTGATCCAACGGAAATTGTTTTCAGCATAATAAATTTATCATAAGTAGCAATGAAGTCAGTTATTTTTATCTGAATTTTGGAAAAGCAATTGTACGAAATTTATTTTTGGCATCAAAGGAAAATGCCGCAAAAAGGGAGGCATTGACTTGAAATTTAATCACCGCATCTTGGGATGCGGCAAAAAAGACAAGAGCGCAAAAGGAAAAAATGGTTCCCCAAAAACCCGGGCAATACTAAACCCAAAAATCCCAAGACGGAAAATGCGCCAAAACAAAACAGAGATAACCCCAGAACTGGGGTGTCTCAA